TTGCAAATATCAAATAATAAAAAAGTGATTTTTTCTTAACTTACGGGAACTATCATTGGAGGTATCAGAGTCATCGAAAGAGAGTTTTCGGGCTTTTTTCGGCCGTTTGGATGGCTCGTCAAATGCAGCACGCATGGTATCAGTGTCAGCATCCGATGAAATATATGCTGATTTCTTCTCGATTTTCCGAGCTTCTTCAAAGGTATCTGTTTTACAATAATACAATGTAACACACAATAAATGTGTGTATAATAAAATGCCTTGCATTATTTTAAATAGCTACACATATTTTTTAAACAATAATAACTTAAATATTAGACTGCAGGTACGCGAATAACACATGATATAAGAGAAAATGCCGTTTCTCGATCGAAGCGAAGCTTGATGCCAATAATAATTTTCTATCTATATTAAATGTATTTATCAGTTCTATAAACTGCGTGCTGATATATATGGTTTGTCGTATTTAAAATGCAATCCTAAACCAAAACTGGAAATATCTCAAATTAATTTGATTGTCAAATATTTTTTAAGTGTTTTTTTGCAATTCATAATGCACGGACGTATAAATTTATCAAACACAATAATCTAATGAAATGTTCATATATTAGATGAATTAAAAGTTTGTGCCCAATCTGTCATTATAAATCGGACTTGTGCACTCACCTAATATAAAACAATCACTATTACAGGTATGTAAAGTGTAACTCACCAATGGGACCAATTAGTTTATTGTATGAAGTTACAGTCCATGTGTCGCTATCGGGTTGCAGTTTCTTTGATATTGCTGTAGTAACAGTGATACCTTTCGGTGGCCACCAAATTGTCGACTCATCGTTTTCAAAGACCCATGATTCGGGAACTACAGAGCACCAGTCGTTGCCAATAACAACGTACCATACCTTCAAAAATAACAATTTCACAGAGCAGTATCAATATATCTTTATACAATAATGTAATAGATGAAAATAGCAGTTATAATGTTATAAATAACAATTTATAGTGTTATGAAGATTAAACTTTTATTGAATTTTCTATCAAAATAATTCTAATTTTAACGACATATGTACAATGCATATTTTACTTTTAATTTTAACTAAAATTAAAAATCATTATGTAATAAGGGTAATACTAAGTATGTTGAATTATTTCCAAAATCCATTTGAAATGCTTTATTTTTAATTGAAGAAACTGGCCACATTTGCAAGGTCGATAAGTCTGTAACAACGTATATTCCTAAATTTCTTGAATCGCAGGGATAATTAGGTAACATTGAAATATTTGTAAACTTTTGTCCGATAATCGTTGGAATTTTACGATAATAGCCAATATGGGAAATACAAACAATGCTTGTGGCATTATTTTCTTCGACGTAACAGCAATTATTATATTTTTTCGTTGTCAAGACAAACGAAGAAAATTTTATCTGTTTGTGTGCGTTACAGCAACCTAATGGTAAATTATGATTAATCTTTTTCTGCAACTGAGGATACTGCTGATCATAAAATCGCTGATTTTCAGCAGGAAACAATAAGGATTGTTCATCTAACCTGTTACAGATCTGTTGTAATGGTTTATCAAACTTTTTGAGAAGTTTTTTCAGAATAAATAGATGATTTTCGAATGGAAAAGCGCTAAAAGAATCTAGAGGGCCCAATCTTTTTGCATCAGCAGCTAAATGTATTAAATTATGCATGTTGTAGGTAACATTCTGTGGTTCATACAAAATGCTCATGGTATGAACGAAATATACCAGAAGATCATGAGCATATTCGTTGTTCCTGTCATAATCGTCAACGCTACATAAAATTCTCATTGCACAATTCAGAGCATTAAAATGTACATATTTTTCATCCGGCAGCACATTTCTAAGAACCAGCAGCCCTAAATAAAGAAGAAAAGTGCGATGTTGAGTCGCTTTCCATCTTAGATAATCATCCAAATCAAAAAATTTTCGAGCAAACTCTATTGGAATACACTTTGATACAGTTTTCAGTACATCCGACAAAATGTTAATATGAGCTTGGACTACTCTGGAAGTTTTTGACCTATCTATCCACAACTTCAGAAGTTGCTTATTAATACCAAGACAGGAATTATGCATGTAGTCTACCGGAAAATTACTTACCATTGGAACTGAAATCAGTTCAAATGGCGAGAAAACACCTTGAAGGTGATGTTCGGGTTGCGACCTATTAATGAAATCAATATCAGTCCGGAGTGGAGCACTGGTATCCAAAAAAGTCATTCGCTTATTTATACTTTCACCCCTTACAGTGCATTTTCCACAGGCAAAGTGTCCATTATGCGATTTTGTACAAGTAACGTATGCTCGAGCCGGAGCATCACAGATGACAGCACGGATATTGATTTGCCGGGGCTGTTCATTAATGAAGAATCCATTGTTTTTTAAATGTAGATATTCATCTATAAATGGTTGAAGAAATTCAGATAAGTAAGCTTTCTGATAACCATGATAGACACCGATGACGAATGGTGCAAATGGCAAACCAAAAATTCTGCCTAAAATCGGCCAAAGCTGACTCTTTGAGCTTTTTGAAATTGGTAAGCCATCAATGTTTAAATCCAAATGAATTATATCTTGATTATCAAAAGCATGAGGAAAACGATTACTGATTGATGTAAGCGCTTTTAATAAGCCGTAGTGAAGGTACTCACCTTTGGAAAGAGTTTTAATTTTGTGAGTACCTGGTCTTGGGGTGTTTAAAAGTGTTCGTGAATTCCGAGGTAAATCATTATGCCCGTGTCTCAAAAGAACTTGTAATAAAGACGTTAATGCATTTTGATTAATACGAAAATCATTTGCCCATTTGCACAGTTCATCAGACAAAGGCAACTGCATATTTTCCTGCGGATGCGGATTGATTCGAAATTCATCATTGACGATACTTGTCTCCGAGGATGAATTACTATTGGCATTGTCGTCGTGATTAATATCACTTTCTGATGAAGCATATTGTAAATTATGTAAATTATTAGTCTCCATCATTCCATCTTCAATCTCAGGTTCTTCAAATTCGAAAGCCGATGAACATGATGGACCATTGATTGGGTTACCGTCAACATTTGCAAATGAAACCGGCTGAGAAGTGACTTCACGATCCGATTTGTAAGAAAGTAAAGTTCGCCGGTTTTGTTGACGTTTCGACAACTCAGAAAATTGTTTGGGCATTTTTAGACTTTTTAATAATCTAATCGTGAATGTACGACAAGTAAATATAACCTACAAAACCCGCGGCTCTGACTATATGATTATTTCAACTTTAAATCATCTGTAATTTTAATGGTTTTACACAAAAATACGTACCATTGTTGCACTCTACTGGTTCTCAATTCACTTTCACACTGTAATCGTTTCACTATAATATATATAATCAATTTACGTCACTTTATACTTTCGTCCCTTACACTTTCGCCTATCTAACAATTGATAATCTATATATATAGCTATCTTTCAGACTCCCGCTATTTTTGCAATCGGCATTTGTGCTGTATCGTGCGCATGTGCTGCAGCGACAAGAATGGCGCGCGCTTTTTGACAATAATATATTATATATATATCATACGGCCTGCAGTGATCGATTTCAAAATGTCTGCTTCTGGACGTTTCAAAGTCGACATTTGAAGAATGTCTTGCAGACATCTGTACGAAGTCGACTTACAGTCAACTTTAAAGGCCTGACTTGGCAAAGTCGACTTACAGTCGACATATGAACCTTTGTGCTGTTAGGGATAGGTCTAAATGATTTGCGGTCATGTTGTAATAATAAACAAAATTATTACTCGACAAAAATGTCTTTCAAAAGATTTGTTATTACTTATTAGCTTTGTTCCTCATGCTTATGGCTTAGCTATTGTGAAGACAAAAAACAAAGAATCATATAAGCCGTTGAAAGTTTAAATTTGCTAGAGATAGATGAATAAAATATGTAAAATTAATAAAGTGATTTTGAACAAAGTATTTTCCATAATGCTGCTATTTTGCGTAAATATTACTTAGAAATAAATTGCGCACGATATCTTGATCAATATATATCTAATAATCATTTTCTTTTTTACAATCTGACTCTCTCTTTACGAATCTCTTTGCAGATGGAATTTATATAGTATGTATTTATGTAACCGACCTTTTTTTTGTCTGCGAGCGACTGCGTTTCAAGTTTTAATAGCTTCTTTACTATTTTGACTTATATATATGACTATATGTTTTTAATTGATATATTATCTTAAGCTTATTCTGAGGAAGATCTAATATACAATATGATTGAAATGTTTTAAATAATACTAACGTTTTTTAAATACATTATTATATTGAGTATCAAGCGACGCGGTAGCGGCGCGACGCCACATATACAGGGTGTCCCATAATAACCGCACCGGACCTCGTGGGCAGGTAAAGCAGATAAAACTGAACGGAAAAGTCCTTTACCATTTTGCAAAATTTGCAATCGTTAACGAGATA